AATTGGCACAGGACAGAGCGGAGTTTAGGGCTGTTGTACATAGGGTCGCTATGAATCGCAGGCGACTCGACGGCACATAACAACAACAACAACAATTGTTCCCTTAACTCATCATTGAACACTGCATCATAGAGAACAAAAATTAACAATTATCCTTTAAAACAAGTAACAAAATTGACAAATAACACCTAGAATAAAGTTTTTTTTGGCCATGGGGCACTTTTATGCTTTTCTTTCAAAAGAAAAGGGGAACAGATTGATCTACTTTAATTATAAGTGAGAAGTATTCTTTGTAAACAAAAAGGTAAACAGGAAGTACATTCAGTATGTTATAAATAAAAATCATCCAAGATAAAACATTACTTACACATTACCAATTTCCAAATTCACAATCACACATACACTTGTACAATGAACTAATAAGCAGAAAATCATTCTTTTCATTTGAAACAAATATTTCTACAGGAAGATAAACAATAGGGGGAGAATGAAAAACTAGTAATAAGATGGATTTCCCAATTTGTGGTAACTGACTCACTGCTGTTTTTAAAATATATAAAACAAGTTTTCAAAATTAAAATGTCATACACTAAAATTGATTATTTAAAGCTAACAAAATAACATATTCTGAGTGATTTCTCAAACAGTTACTCTCTAAAATAAAGAAACAAATTGTTGGAACAAAATTATAGTTTAAACTAAAAGATGTGGATTTTAAAACATAAATATCCTAGTCTCTGTCTTTCTAAAATTGGAATCTAAATTTTAAGGTTTAAACCAGTCAGAAGCAAGAAGAAAATAAAAATTCTATGAAAGTTTACCAACCTCTTAGCCTCAATATTTTATCTCTGACAACTCCAAGTTATATTCCTCTGCGTAGCTCTAGAATGGAATATTTCAACTCTATTATTTTTGTTTGTTTTTTTTAAAAAAGTCACTTTGCTGAGCTGTAGACATTCAAGAACTAAGTTAAAAACCTCTATTCTTTTCCAGTTGAATATTAATCGATTATTTGTCCTTCATATGCTTTAGAACTACATTCAAAATGAAGTTTTAGTATCAGGGTGATCATCTTTGTTAACAGGTCTTTGAAACTCCTATGTACAATAGAGCACACTTAGATTAGACTAGCAGATATAGCCCTAGGGGCTGAAGCCTCATACTGGGAAACACAAAGGCACACAGCTGGAAGGGACATTTGTGATTGGAATGTTGAATGTGATACATATGAAAACTGGGCATTTTTAAAGAATAAATGGAACACGTAAATATTGACATACTGGGAAATGATGAACTGAAATAGATCAGTTTGGAACACTTTCAATCAGATAATCATACAATCTACTATACTGGAAATGGAAATGATGAAGAAAAAGGTGGTCACACTCTTAGTCAAAAAGACCATTTCTAGATCCATTCTGAAACATAATGTAAGAGACAAGTTAATAACCATACGCATACAAGGAAGACCTTTAATACCACTATGATTCAAATATATGAACCAACAACTGGAGCAAAAAAGAAGGCAACAGAAGATTTCTACCAACTTTTGCAGTTGGAAATTGAATGTGCAACCAAGATGCATTAATAATTTTGAGTGAATGGAATGCAAAAGTTGGGAACAGAGAAGAAAGATCAGTAGTTGGAAAACATGGTGTTGGTGACAGAAATGAGGCTGGAGATAGAATGATAGAGTTTTGCACCATCAATGATTTACTCATTGAAAATACCTTTCATAAGAAACACAAGACAGCTGCTATACAAATGGAGCTCACTTGAAGGTCTTTACAGGAATCAGACTGATTATATCGAGGGGCTGGGTGGGGGACGAATCGCTGGACCAGCTCATTATCAGCTGTGAAAAGTAGGCCAGGTACTGAATGTGGAACAGACCGTCAAATGTTTATATCAAGTTCAAACTGAAACAAAATCAAATCCACAAGAACCAAAATTTGACCTTGAGTCTATTCCACTTAAATTTAAAAAACCATCTCAAGAACAGGTTTGAGTCTTTAGACATTAATGAAAGATGACCAGAAGCGCTGTGGGTGGACATCAAGAACATCACCCATAATGAATACAAAGATCATTACAAAGTCAGAGGAGGAAAAATAGATGGAAATGGATGTCAGAAGAGCCTGAATATTTCACTAGAGTGCTGAGAAACCAAAGCAAAGGGAAGAAATCAGAACATTAAGGAACGGAACAGAATTATTTCAAAGGGCAGCTCAGCAAGACAAAGCAAAGTATTATAATGAAATGTGGAAAGAGCTGGAGTGGAAAATCAAAAGAGATAAACTCACTCAGCATTTCTTAAGCTGAAGGAAGAGCTGCAATACTTAACAATGCTATGGGCAGAATACTGAATGATCCAGGATACATCAAAAGAAGATGAAAGGAGTATACAAAGTCACTGTTATCAAGAATTGGCTCACAAGAAGTATCAGCCAATGAACAAGAGTGAATGGTGATGAAAGAGGATGTTCAATCTGCTCTGAAGAAACTGGCAAAAAAAAAGGCCCGAGAAACTGATGAAATACCAACTGACATATTTCAGCAAACACATGCTGCCTTGGATGTGTTCAGAAATGGCACAAGAAATTGAGATCAGACACCTGGCCAGCTAACTGGACAAGATCCATGTTTATTCCCATTCCAAAAAAAGGGTGATCTGACAGAGTATGGAAATTATCAATCAATCCCACTTAAATCACACAAAAGCCAAATCTTGCTAAAGATTATCCAGAAATGTATCAAACATCAAGAGAGTGCTATCAGAATTACGGGCTGGGTTTAGAAGAGGTCATGACATTAGGGACATCACTGCCAAGGTCAGATGAATCTTGGCTGAAAGCAGAGTACCTGAAGAATGTCTTATCTGTGTTTAGTTGAGTACACAAAGCTTTTTGACTGTGTGGATCACAACAAATTGTGGCTAACTGTAAAGGGAATGGGAATCCCAGAACACTTGATTATGCTTACGCAAAACCTATACTTAGACCAGAAAGCAGTTGCCAGAATAGACCAAGAAAACGGCATGATTCAAAATCAGGAAAAAAGAATACATCAAGAATGGGTCGTGTATCTCCATACCATTTCAACCCATATGTGGGAATAGATCATTTGGAAAACTGGTCTTTAGGAGGTGGACTGTGGCATCAGAATGGGAGGAAGACTCATCAACAACTTGCATTATGCAGATGACACAACCTTGCTCACTGAAACTGAGGCATCTTCTGTAGAAAGTAAAGGAATGCTGTCTTCAATATGGACTGAAGCTCAACATCAAGAAAACAAAGATTCTGGGCCAACTGGCAGCACCAAAATAGATGTAGAAGAGAATGAGTTTGTCAAAAATTTCAGCTTGCTCAGGTCTACAATGAAAACTCTTGGAACCAGCAGCCAGGAAATAAAGACAAACCGGACTGAGTAAGTCTGCTCTCAGGCACCTCTCCAGAGTGCAGACATACAATGATGTCAGTCCAGAGACTAAGGTGTGCCTACCTAGGCCATACTCTTCACAATTACTCGCTATACATCAGAGAGCTGGACAATGAAAAAGGATGACAGAAGAACTGATGCCTTTGAGTTGCGCTGACTAGGAGTACTGAACATAACAAGGACTGCCAACTGAAGAAACAAGTCTGTTGTGGAGAGAGTCAAACCAAGTTGCTCTATGTAGGCAGGATTTTGAAGGTCTGTCTTACATACTTTGGAGTGACTGGGTGATAGAGGCAAGTGTGTCAGAGACAGTAATTGGCTCAGAATAGGACAGATCTCAGAATTAACTGTGCATAAGGTCATTATGAGTCACAGGTGACTTGCCAACACATTACAACAATAACTAATATTCTATTATGTTACGTTATGTTATGTTATGTTACTGGAAGAATTACTCATTCTTGTTTCGGTAGGATTCAAAAGTCCAAATTTATACCTATTTTCTTATCTAGAAAGTAACTAATGAAATGGACATTTTATGAGGAATTTAAAAAGCTGATCTGAATAAGATACAATCCATGGCTCCATTTTCAAAATTGATTATTTTTCTTGTCTCTTTATTGTTGTTATGTATCATCGTGTCGCTTGCGACTCATAGAGACCCTATGTATAACAGCCCTAAACCCTGCTCTACCCTGTGCCAATCTCAACACACCCATCCCGATTACCCCAGTCACTGAATCAATCCACCTCAGAGGATCCATTAGGCGTCCTATATAATCCATTTTTATATAGTACATTCTTTTAAAATACAGATTGATACATCCTACTCTGTGGTAATTGGTAAAGTTTAAATAAATTAAATTGTTACTTTAGGTAATAAATGACAAACTGAAATGGCAAAATAATATGTAGTATAATTAGGGTTAGGCTTGATGTGTACATTTTTAAAATAAATATTAACTAATGTATTTAGAACTATAAGGATGGGTTAAAAAAAAATTCACATTACTTGCCTTATAGTACCAATCCTGAAATTTTTTACAGCATTCTTCACTGCAGAAATCTCTCACAACACCATCAAGTTCTTTTGTTGCTCCCTTCTTACAGAGCTGGGAGCAATAGTTGCACGTAACACATCTCAATCCTAAACGTCTTGCAAAATCCTGCTTATACAATAGTTTGCAACCTGAAATATATAAGTTTAAATATTAAAACAACATACTAGAACTTGTTTTTTCAGTTGAGACATATCTTACAAATCATTTACAAAATTAGAAGTCCCCTAAAATCTGCATATAGGATCTTGCTTAAAAATTATAAGTAAACTCAAGGAGAGGAGCAAATGGGGGGGGAGGGGGGAGGGGTTTGTGCGGGGAGAAGGGTACAACAATGAATGAATGGAATCCCAAAATCTCTGTAGATGTTCATTGAAATGAAAAATAAACAACCTAAATTTAAAAAAAAAAAAATTATAAGTAAACATATCACGAATCACAATTTTAGAGAAATTAAACAACACAGACTACTTAGAGGTACTGAGTAAAATGACAGATAAAACCAGTTGCCATTTAATCAATTCCAACTCCTGGTGACTCCATATATGTCAATGAGTTTTTTGCTCTATCAAGGATTCTCAGTAGCTGATTTTTCAAATTGATAGGCCTATCTTCTGAGGTACCCCTTAGTGGACTTCAAACTCCAACCTATCAGTTAGCAACTGAGTGAATTAACCATTTGCAGTACCCAAAATTTCTTGCCTTATCTCTCCCTGCCATCCTACATAAAATTTTATTGAGGAAATTAAACTAGTTTATTGATTAGTTAAAAGACATTATTTTTTCTTACTCTATTTCTTTGTGGTTTTTTTTATAAATTATCACAAAATATTTATTTTACCTTCTTGTAAATTTTAAATTGTTCCATCAATCTAGTTTTAAATCTTTTCAATCTGTGAACATAAACTACTATTTTTTCTATATATTTTATCTGGCAATCATTTATGTACTATCCTGTTTAGTTAAGGATGAAGAAGATCCTTAACTAAATTTGAACATCCTAACTATATGATTTCTGACAGATCTCAGTAAAGAACTGGTGGTAAAGCATAATATATATAATTTAACAGAAAAAACAGATAATTCTTTTTCTTCACTCATGGTTGATGTAAATTTATGAGTCTTTCCAAATGAAAAGAAAATTGTGGAATTGTCTGTAATTTTCTATGAATTTTTACAAACTACATATAATTGAAATGATATAAGATCTTTGCTATGTTAAAATTTAAAAATCAGACCAACCATACATAGATTAACAGGGATGCTTTGCTTTATAATCAGCACCTTATTATATTAACAATTTATCACAAAGATCAAATGTATGAATGGAGGCAGTAGTTGATAATTATTGGATTTCAAAGTTTTTTCTCATAGCTAACATGAGATTTTCTGACCTTCACCTTGACCCCAACTTAATTCCATAGAAAAAGTTCATCAGAAAAAGAAAATTAAAGTAGCGGTGAGAAAAGTGAGGAGTTCAGTGTATGCAATGAAAGAATAGCCAATTAAAGCCAGACTAGGAAAAGAACGCGAAGGCTAAGGAAGAACAGGAACACTAGCTCAACTTCTACTGCTAAAAATCTGATTCCTGACAAACAGACTGAAAACTAAAGTTCACTTCTATAATCTGATGCTTGGTACCATAGTAGCAGAACTAAAGATGGGAGGAAAGGAATTTTTTTAATATATAGGGGAAAGAAACTACAAACACTATTTTTCTGCCATTCCAAACAGAAAAAAACCCTAAAGTTATTTTCCCACTGTAAGAGGGCACATATTTTTCTCCCACTGGTATAGTAAAGAAAAAAATTTTATAGACTAGACAGTAAGATGGACAGAGAATATATACAAAGTGAATTATATGGAATGAAAAAGCAACTTTCAGATCACAATTTATCTGTACATTAAGAGTCATATGGTATAATAATTCTTTTATTCTCAAAATTTTGTTGCAACTGAAAAATGGTTTTGAGAATAACAACTTTAGGATTAAGTTCATAAATATATCTAAAATAACAAAGGAAACCAAAAGAAAAACAAACTCGGGGTTTTTTAGCCATAATAAAACCATGCAGTTAATCTAAAAACATGTATTTTCAATATTTTGAGGAAAAATAACATGAAATAGTAATAAGAGTAATTAATACACTGCATATACACACTTGCCTTCACTACAGAAAGGTCTCTTAACACCAGAGAAATTTACTGTTTCATGAAGTGTCTTCTCCTCTTGGCAGTATTCACAGTACGTTACAATGCAGTGCAACTTCTTATAGTCATCTGAGCAAGTTTTGCTGCAGAATTGATGCACTTTGTTCTAAATGCACAATGGGAACCTTGGTAAGTAATATGACAAGTGTTTCAAGAACAAAACAGCAAAGTAAGTAATATTTATGAATAGCTAAATGGGAACCAAGAAAAGGAATAAGCAAGACACAATTACATTAATGTTGAATACATTTACCTATTTAATCTGATGACGCTAAGAGATACATTTTCTATAATTCACACTTAAATTGCTAAAATTAGACATTACTACACAAGTCACTATTATTCACACTGCCATAAGCGTTTCATAAAAAATGCTAGTTATCACAAAACCAAAATGGCAGTCTGATGTTATTAACAAATGGAGAACTGTGAAGAAAATAGAAAACGCAGCATAGACAAGATACAGAAATAAGAATTTCAAGTAACATTTCACTCAAAAGAAACACTTCAAAATATTTCACGTGGTTTAGAAAAAAACATTTTTTGTTGAGTCTAGTCAATTAGGCATCAGAGAGCTGGACAATAACTAGTGATGATAGGAGAACTGATGCCTTTGAGCTGTGATGCTGGAGAAGAGTACTGAATATACCATAAGTGCTAAGAGAACAAACAAGTTCTTCTAGAGAAGGAGGGTGAAGCCAGGCTGCTCCTTGGAGTCAAGAATTCTGAAGCTTCATTTGACATATTTTGGACATGTTGCAAGGAGGGACCAGTCCTTGGAGAGAGAAATCATGCTTGGGAGGGTGGAGGGGCAGCACAGGAGAGGAAGACCCTTGATGAGCTGGATCAATTCAGTGACTGGGGTAATGGGGATAGGTGCGTCAGAGAAAATAAGATTGGTACAGAGAGGACAGAGTAGAGCAGGGTTTAGGGCTGCTGTACATAGGGTCGCTTTGAGTCACAGGCGACTCGATGGCACATAACAACAATTTAGTCAATTAGGTACAGTTAAATTCCTATCGTAACCTAAAAGTAACAGAACTTTGGATGGAAATGGAAACCATTTGCCACGATCACACAGTGTGTTGTTAAACTTCTCTTGCAAGGAATAGTCAGTAGTTTTTAGTTATAGTTTCAAAAATCCACAAAAGCCAGAGCCACATTTCAAATCACTCAGCCAATCAGTTATAAACAAGTTAAAACTTTCACATATGGAATTCTCCCATCCAGGTGCTCCCCATCATCCCAATTATGGAGGCTGAGCTTTGTGGCCAAGTCCATGGAGAACTCTGCTGCTACGCCAAAGCCTGTCACTCCCTACAGGTATGAATCCACTAGTGCCTGTGCCTGTGCCTCTGCTAGAGAAAGATGGGCAAACTACTCCTGTGTGATTTAGAATCTTTAAAAACCTTTTGGAGGGGAATATGAGTCAGTTCTGACTCCACGGCAACAAGTTTTTAGGTTGTGATTATAAAAGCTAAAGATTGAAAAGTTTTTGTAGATTTTATAGAAGTTATAGGTCTAAATCATCTAACAAACAACTACCAATAATTAATGAAGACCAAGGGAGATAAGAGTCTAGAAAGCAAATCAAACAATAAAAACAACAATGACCACTTCTAATCAAGGGTGAGAGTACAGAAAGAAGTCCTCTGATTTAGAAAGATAATGGGTTTTAACTGCTTCTGACACTTAATTTCTATGTAAATAAAAGAATAAACCAAAAAAAGCACCAAAGTAGAGTAGTACTGACATGGAGGTGGTGATTAAGGACTTCATTTTCACTTAGTATTATAAAAATTCAGATATATAGGGTAATAATTTCCTACAGACTACTATTCCATGTGCTTACTTATGAATTTCTTTTCTGAATTTCTCAAGTCTTTTCTTCTCCCTTATTGAGCCTTGAGATTCTTCCTGCTGCTATTTAAAGATATTGGTTACTAAGAATCATCATTAGGTTGTAAACAAAAGCATCAAAGAATGAGTGGCTTAAATGCTCCAAAGTAAGCATCAAACAGAATAAATTAAAACGTTTTCCAGGGACTTTCTGGATGGAATAATAAAATTTCTTTACAAAGTAATCATGTAATTAAGTTCTAGTACCACCATTTTCTTCAAACTGAGTGACTAGCAAACAATTATTAATACAAAAATTTTGGTTCAATAGCTGCCTATTTGTTAGTATTAAATCTTATGTACCATAAAAAGAAGGCCTAGTGAAAAGTGAACAGTGCTCACAAGAGCAGCTATGTGTGTCTTCTTCACATATCCAGTTATTATTACTATTCTGTTAATGAAACTTAAATTAATGATCAGGAAAGTTATTTCTAGTGGAAAAAAAGATAAAGCAAATACATAAGTAAACTAGTAAAGAGTAATAAGAAAAAGAAAGAAAATATTAGGATTCACAACCTTATCTTTTAATTCATAAACAATGTGGTAAATGATTAACAAATCCTGTAATAGACAACTACTTTTTACATGAACAACAGATGTCTAGGAGTGGCAAGTGCTAGTGTGAATAATTCTGCCCATGACACTCTCTGTCAACCTAAAGAGGCAGTTTGGCAGCTATGCAATAATGAGGTCTTTTGCCCATTTTTACATGATGACTTGTCTGTGGAATCTAACTATGCTGCTAAGTGAGGAGTGAGTATATCGTATGAATCAAAATTTTTTGCCTGACCTAAAAAGAAACATATTATGTGTTAGGTGCCCTTTCATATTAAGAAGTCTCTACTCATGAAGAAAAAGGCTGCAAGATGGAAATGCTATGATTATTTACTAGACTTCCATTCCAGTTCTAGGTAAAATACGTAACAAAATATAACTTGCCTCCCATTCCAGGATTTCTGGCTTTGAACAAAAGGAATTTTTGCAATAATTGCATTTCAACTGAATGTCACTTGGAGGCACAAACTGGCCATTTGGAGATGACTGCATACTGAGAGCCTAAAACAAAGAGCAAAAAAAAGACTTTGCCTGATACGTATTTTAAGATGTTTCTTTCTGACAGTTATCAGATATCTACTACCTAGAAAACAGTATGACTTCTATATAAATACATAGTACATAATATGGTTACTTCTAAAAAAATAAAAATAACCCAACATTTCTGAATTTTTCATTTAAGTATTATACTAGTATAAAAAGATTTTGCTAATATATTGATGTTACATTCCAAATATGAAACTAAAGTTAAATTTATTTTTTATTATAGGATAATTATTATTTCATTAAAATAAAAAATTTTAAAGTAAAATATAGTTCTATTTTACTTTTCACTTTATAAAAAAATACAACAATGTAGTTGGTTGTATAAGTTTGTAATTAAATGAATAAAAGTAAAATCAAAGCTCCAAGTGTTCTTTCCTGTAAACTAACCACCCCTATTTACGTGATTCATTCTACACAAATACTTAGCATCCTTTTAATTCCAAGTCTACCAGTGAAACCAGACTAAAACAACTTTTGAAAACTGCTCACTTCCTTTGGTTAGATGGAAAAGTTAGGTTCATTAAATTCAAAGGTATTATATTAGAAATCACTTTTAAACTTTATTACATTTCATATTTTAAGAGAAACTACTTGGAGTATACAATAGGAACTAAGCATGCAAGGGCTTTATACATTTTCTTCTAAGATTTAATCTGAGTGAATATATCATTATATAATTATCCTTCTCTAAGCCATATTACACACATCATTTAATCTTCTCAAAGTATATAACAGGAACAAAATTACCAAGGTGCAGTAAAGGAATAATCCATTTCTAAGAAAGTAGAATACGCTACAGAATACAACTAAAATAAAGAAACTTAATCTACTGCTTTGTTCTAATATTTATTTACATATAGTTACAAGTAAAGAGGACGGCTAAAAGTGTATCTGGATGTATTCAAATTAAGAGTATAAAGAAAGCAATTTTAAAATGGTAAAAACAGTTCTTAATTGCTAATCGAAAGGTCAGTGGGTCAAATTTAATAGATACAATATGAGAAAACTGTTACGGTAATCTCAACCCATTAGGGATGTCCCATGTGGCAGGTCTACTCTGTTCTATAGGGTCATTATGAGTAGAAATAATTTGGGCATACATGTTAGTGACAATATAAAAGGAACAGTCATCAACTAATGAGCAATACAAGTTTCCATTAAATTAAAGAAGTAGTTTAAAACAAGGGAGCTCTTGTTGCTTATTGAAAAAAGAGTTGCACTGCCAATCTAAAGGCATGCAGTTCAAACCCTGCTGCTTCATGGGTTGAGTAATCTCCTCCTGTTAATTACAAAGCCTCTGAAAACCTGCTGGAGGATTTTGACTAAAAGAAATGAAGATTTTTTTAGTTTAAAACATTTTTTTAACAATTCAGTTGACATTAACATAAAAAAGGAATAAAAGTTTAAGTTCAGTATTGGGCAAGTGACAAGCAAAGACATTATATCCATCTCTTCCAGTAAGTAAACGTTTCCAATCATTTCTACTTTAAGTAAACAAGCCTGAAATAATTTTTATCAGTACAACAATCTATCAATGGCCAAAACCACATCTTTTAAAACAGAAGTATAGTATCATAGCTGAATTCAAAACTGCCTTGACTTAAATGCTTAAAAGTGGTAAACCATACAAAAGAGTTCAAGGATGAATTAATTCATGAACCATGACTTTATCCACATTTTAACCTTTGATACTGTAACAACCTGAAATTTACACCCAGAGCAACTAATTTTTACCCACTAACTAATGCTAAAGGAGCTCTGGTGGGAGGCACTGCCAATCCAAAGTCATATGGTTGAATCTACTAGCTGCTCTAAAGGGGGAAAAAAATAATCATCTGGTATGTAATTGGTTGTTATTTACCTTCAAGTCAAAACTCCAGCAACTTTTCAAAAGCTATAAATTGTATAGAAGGAGAATGGTCATCTTTCTCCTATAGAGTAGCTGACATATTCAAATCATGTACCTTTTGGTTGGTAGTGCAATTCCTTTCACTAAACTGTTTACTACCTCTTAACAAAGGAACTAAAGGTCAGCTATGAATAGCTGCTGACCTGATAAGACAACAACATAACTAATGTTTAAATGTCCTCTGACTAGTCCATCCCAATGGAACTATGTCAGAAAGTACTTGCTATCTATACCAAAATGAAATTTCTTTAAAACTAACTCATACTAGTTCTGTGTAAAACCAGAGGCCTTCTGTAAGAAGTCTAAATCCATTTCCTATGGAAAATCTGTTATAAATGAAAAAATCATGTATATATCTCTTCTCTATGTTAAATATAGGTAATCTGTCCTTCATTCATATGAAAAATTTCCCTTACATTAAAAAAAAAATTACATATCAGGCACAAAAAAAAGTAAAAGGTCCTTAACAGTGATTCCCCCCCTACAAAGTCTATTTTAAATAAAAAGTAAAAAGACAAGTCTATTTTAAGACAATCTTATTATCAATGTTAAAGAATAAGCTGGTGCAAGCATGTCCTTCAAGATTCTATTATAATCCATATCCTCCAATTTGATCCTCAACCAATAGGTAAAAATGAACATGTAAGATAATGATGTAGAATATTTTAGTTTTATTTTCTACATATATTTTATTGGTGAAAAGTATGCAAAATTAATATCAAACCTGAAATTTTGCCACACAGCTGGAATTGCAAAAGTTATACAGTTTTCCATCAGGCATTGTGGCTTGGTATTGAGGTAAAGAGTTTCGCTTACAAAAATGGCAAATAATTCCCAAACCTAGGAGAGAAAAGGTACATATCTAATTTCTTTATAAGAAATATACTTTATAAACTTTAAAACAAAATTCCATTGACATAAACAATTCATTTTCTCAATTAACACTGCGAACCATTAGTAATACTATGATTATTTTCACTTAAAAAAAACAGATATAGGAAAATTATATCTAATGAAACTATATCTAAGTTAAAATAACCCATTCTAGCTAAGAACACATACAGACAGAAAACTTTAAAATAAGCATGGAATTATTTCTAAGGAAGAACACCAACTATTCATTGAAACTAAAAATGAATATATAAACAAAGAGGGATTTATATAAAATAGAAAAATATTTATACAAAAAAAACAATGTTATTTATTAACTGTTAAACTGCCAAGTATCTTAAACTTACTTTGTGATTTTGCATATTTTGTCTTGTGACTGTTCATGCAAGCAGTTGAACAATATGGCTCCATATATCCATTAGGACCTATACATTGAGTCATATCAAAAAATCTGCACTGTGTTCGGCAGCCAGTACAAGTAGTCAGCTTTCCATATTTCTAAAATAAAAGATAATATAGTTAAGCAAACCAAATAAGAAAAAACTAATTCTATTTTTTATTATATATTTTGTCCCTTCAGAATTATTAATCTAATGAAATCATTTATAAAGGTTTAAAGAATCAAAAGTCATCAAAGATACAAACTATTCATTAACTATTAACCATGAAACAAAAATGTTAATCAGGTTAAATTTCCTTTAAAAATGGAAATTTTTTATTAATTTTGTTTGCATAAGTTTAACTTCAAATGCCTAAGTATAAATGAATAAAAACTGACAATAAAGGTGTAGTTTTCATTTTATAATAAAGATACACTTCTCTTTCAAATGACAGAAGAAATTAAACATAACTATAATTTATATTCATATAAACCAAATGACTAGTACATTAGAAGAGTAACTT